AAAATTATGTGCAAGGCTTGTGCGAGGTATTAAAATTTGTTGACACAGATGTGAAATGAATTATGTCATAGAATATTAAAATCACTTGTTGGTCATTTTTGTACAATGCGCAAAGCACATCCACATACAGGGGAGTACTGAAATCCTTCTATCCCAACTCTTAGGGATTGATTTATAAAGAGTTTGCATAGCCAATCCCCAGGAAAAGTACATGTACCTTCACTGAGCATTCAGTGAATAAAAAAAATGAATTTATATAGACTATATACTGTGCTGTCCAAATGTAAACCATTCATTTAAAATGTAAAATGCTGCATTTGGCCACTAGATGAAGCTAAGTTTAAGAATCTTTTATAATACTTGGCTTCATCTAGTGGCCAAATATGGCATTTTCCATTTTAAATCAATGATTTACATTCTAACAGCTAATGATAAAGCCTAATTACATTCCATTTTTGCTCCATTTCCACAGAACAAATGGACATGCACTTTCACTGGGTGAATGGCTATGCATTTTCTTCATAAATTAACCTATTATTGTTCTAAAAATCACAAAGCATAGCAGCGTATTCATGAAATATTACACCTATTTTTTTATTCATGTGTTGTTGATTCACCTGCAGTGGATGTTTTGTGAATGTCATATTCACTGATTTATACATTTGCCCCGTAGGGTATGTCCTGATCAAACAATTTGTAATCTTGATGCTAATATTTTTCAGTTTATTCATCATGTTACAGTAGGATATTAATGCTCAAGACTACCATACAAGCAGAAAGATCTGCAAACCTACACAAAGTCTGTATCTTTCCTTTGGGATCCTTTCCACTTTTTAAGTTCAGTTCCCATGCTACATCTTCAGTCACAACATCCGCTCAACACAAACATCACAGGCTGTTTCTTTCTCACAAAGTATGCAAGAACAAAATGAACTACACATTTCCAAATCTCAGAGGAATTTCCAACAGTTAAAGATATCTTGGACATCACATACTATGACTTTTTAATGCCGAGTAAACTAAACATGCATAGATCACACATATAAACTATAACAAAATGTCCTCAATGGTAAACAATACAATAATAAGAAAAATTATCATCACATAATATCTATTATAATTTAGTTGGCCAAGTCTCCCAGTTCCTTGGTTTTTCTTGCATTTAAAATATTAAACTAGATATAGGAAATTCGGAAGTTAATCCTTGAAAATTATTATATAGTAAATATTTCTGCTAAAACTGATGCAGTACATAAAAAAATAATGATTGTAGCAAGTCCAGGAAAGAGAAGGTTTTAATGATTGGAATCCTTATGGGCAAAGAGGCTGCACTGGCAGTTGGAACATATTAACATTATTTCCTGACTATAAGTGACGGTGCTAAAAAAAGTTAATTAGCGCACCAGGTTGGGTTGGACATAATCATTCAATAAATAAACCTCCTGACTATTTGGATAATAAAGCAAAAAGCTTTATGGATAGGGCTGTATTTAACTGAATCATAATGAGAGTCTGCTAATGGGTGAATACCATAATGAAAAGTGCAAAATTTAATTGGAGGGAATATTTTACAGCTCCTTGAAAATGAAGGCATGAACTATCACTATTTTATACAGGGGTAGAAGGTGTCAGTCTAGAAAACAATGGATCCTTGGATTGGAAGACAGAAAAGAAGCCATGTTTCCCCTTTCTTCAAATACTCAGGTGACCCTTTTGATTTAAAATGGGAAATGTCTTATTCAGTTTTGAAACTTAGTATTGCCCTACAACACAAATGGTTGTTTCAAACGTACATAAAATGTAGGCAATTCTCCCTAAAAAAAGAAAATTCTATTCCAGAATCTCTTAACGCAAAAAGCACCTACTGTTGCTTTCAGCCTCCTAATAATTTCCAAATTCTCCTGGCTATGTTGGTTCTACATGGTTCCACTGTATGCAGGAATGTAGCCACCCTCTCCTACTAGCTCTTGAGTTGGATTAGCATTTATAGACTCTCCTTTCTGCCCCATATCCAATTGCTTTCCAAATTGTGCCACCGTGCCACCAATGACACCACAAAGCTATTAATTCACTCCCTTAGATCTCTCACCTCGACTACTGCCACTCCCTCCTCACCATACCATTACAGAGGCTCTCCCCTCTTCAGTCCATCATGAATGCTGCTGTCAGACTTATCCACATTACAAACTGTGTAGTGTCTGTTACCTTCTCTGCTGATCCCTCCATTGTTTTCTGCTCATCCAACTAATGAAATTAAAAGTGCCAACAACAGCTTTCAAAGCCATCCACAACTCCAAGCTACATCACTAACCTTGTCTCTGAATACCATTCAAACCATTCCCCACAGTCCTCGCTAGACCTCCTGCCCTTCAGCTTCCTCGTCACCTCTTGCCATGCTTGTCTTCAGGGCTTCTCCAGAGCCTCCCCCATCCTCTGGAACTCCTTAGCCCAATCTATCTCACTGTCTCCTACTCTATACACCTTTGGGTGATCCCTGAAATCCCATCTCTTTAGAGAAGCATATCCTGCTTTTAACTAATAAACTGTCTGTATTCTCCCTCAGTTCATCATCCTCCACAGATATTACCTTTTGTATCATTTGACCTTCCCACTTAGATTGTAAGCTCTAATGAGCAGGGCCCTCTGATTGCTTTTCTTTTGAATTGTATTGTAATTGTAATGTCTGACTTCATATTGTAAAAGGCTGTGCAATTTTGAGCGCTATATAGATCCTGAGGATGTTACAAGAAGGCAGAAAAACACGATAAGAAACAATTTCAAGAAAAATAGATTACAGGGCCAATAATTAGTAGACGTGTATAGATTATTTTTGGAGAATAAAGATATCAATTAGTGTCATCTAACTTTAATCATATTTTCTAGTTCAGTGGACATTTACTTTTCACAGTAAACATCCACTTTGCTAAGAAAATGGTTATTTAGTATCCAACCCTATTCCATTGTGGCAAGAAAAATTCATAAATATAAGTAATTTTATGCCCTTGCCAGAAGTGAAAAAAGTATTTTAAGATATTTATTACACAGCATTATACCATGTAGTATAATTTCTAGTAACAAAACCTCCAGAATGTAAGCCCAGTGAATGACAGGTGTGAACAGCTGTGTAAATAGTAACAAATGGGCGATGATAAGAAAAATATATCTCTGTGGCCATAATCTCTTAACCCTCTTAACCCAATCTTTGTGCCTAGATGGAACAGTGGTTTGATAGATAGCACTGTGATCTTGCAGTATATATGAGACTGTTAGAGTAAAAGATCCTTTGGGAGCAATGCCTGATGCAAGTTGGATCTATGTTTTCTGTGAATGGCAATAGAATTTCCTGGCATTGTATAAGTGTAAAATAATGAGAAAACTCTATCTTTAATTCCAAACAGCCTTATAATAAATGCTTACATGTATTTAAGTGAGTGTTAACAGATTAAATCACTTTAACAATACAGTATGCAGCGCTAGGTACAATGAAAGCGAATAAAAACCATTAATGCATATGATATTAAGTAGCCAACACTGTGGGACGCTACAGAGCGCCAAATGACACAATCAAGTGATAATAACGTCCAAACATGACGTATAAAGTGCTCGAGGTGATGAAATATACTATAAAAATGAGTCCAAACAGCAACTGCCTTAAGGTGCAAATCCGTGATTCCTGTGATAATAAATGGATGTATATTGCACTAACCAGAAAGCGCAATAGGTTGTGCATTTGAGTCATTCAGACCAACTCCTGGTCATCTGGATCTGGACAGCAGGGCTCTGGGGGTCATCTGGCAAACCTCAGCATGTCAGGCAACACTCAGCATACATCTTCATGCTTCAGGGACATGACATCCATCCAGCAGGGGAAATCACTCATATGGGTGCAGTATAAATACCAGGGGTTCACCTTAAGGGGGGGGCTCATAAAAAATGAGCCAGAGAAAGTGCTTCCAATAGTGCAGTATTTTATTGTATTAGATATTATTCCTTACTTTTCCATCCCTAGGCAAAAAACGAGAATTTAACCCTTGCAAGTGCATGGATTTGGGCTTTAAAAATCTAAGGTGGAAACTTTGATACCCTCCATTGCAATAATTTAGATACTGAGAGTTTCATAGTCCTTTAAAGCTTATGATCTTGTTGCTGGCAGCAACTTACCATTAACAGTATTACTAGAGAGGCAAAGAAGCCACTCATTTGTTTCCAGAGTGTTGCCCCCTCAACATGCGGTATGCTGTTGAATCTACTCATTCTACGCAGAAGTGACACTTTACTGGTTCAGTCTGAGAGAGTGCAATATTATGTAAACGTGAATGGTTTCCTTACTCTCTCTAACAGTCCAGTTGCTAACTACTTACCACCAGCGCCAGGATCACTAGCATGTCATAAGCCTTAAGCTGGGTTTACAAGTTGAGGGTTTTTTTTCCATCCAGTCATCAGATTGAATGAAAACAAAACTCAGAGATTCCTACATCCACACAAGTGATGTGGATGCAGGGATCTCGCCCACTAAGCTATTATATTCTGACAGCAGGGACTCCCTCCCTCTGTCAGAATATACTGATCAGCGCTGCAGCCATTGTCTGCAGCTACTGATTGAATGCTGTTTTTTTTCAACAGGACTGTCTAACAGAACCCAGTCTAATTTTTGGCCTCTGTTGAACAGAGAGGGGTACACATGAATTTAAATTTGGCCGGTTCCTGCTGATGTGCATACCCAGCTATAGAAGTACATTTTTAATTAGCCAGATAAGTTTGAATTCACGATCATCACCCAATCTTGTTCAGGGGGATTTATAAATAGGAGTTTCCTTTACATGAGTGGATGACTAAAGTGATTGCAGCTTAACTGACTTATTGGTATAAATATATTGGTTTAGTAAACCAGCCCCTAGGAATGTGTCCTAATGAGCTGCATTTGCTCCTAATTAAAGCAGTAGTAAACCACTTAAAAAAAAAAAAAAAAAAAACACTCCCTGCAAGGCAATGGCATAATGTGCTAGTATGCATCGCATACTAACACATTATGTGAAACCAGGGGTGGACTGACCATTTGGAAACTCGGGCACTGCCCGAGGGCCCGTGGTCAGTAGGGGACCCCATGAGATGCCCCTGGTTCCTTTTTCAGAGGCTTTTTTGAGTTTGGGCAAGGACACAGGGGCCCCATGATCCCCTATTGCCCGGGGGCCCCATGAGTTGTCAGTCCACCCCTGTGTGAAACTTACTTTAAAACAAAGTCCTTCACCTGGTCTTCTTTCTGGGTTAGCAAGCTCTGGCCATCTGGCTGGCTGAGCCGCAATGACGTCACTCCCACGCATGTGCACAGGAGTCATGGGCCACGGCACACTGCTCTGAAGGAATGGCACGGGTATGCCATTCCTTTAGAGCACATGCACCACCTTAAAAAAAACACAACAAATATCTCCTAAAGGAGATATTCATTTTACCTACAGGTAAGCTTTATAAGCTTCCTTAGCTCACCTGTAGGTAAAAATGAACAAAGTGGGTTTACTACCAGTTTAACCATTTGTCATGAATGTCTCTAGTGGCTTTGTTAATAACAGAGATGATGATTATATAATATGTTAGTGATAAATTCCTTTACTGGCTTAAAACTGTGCTTTACCAATCTGCAAGCGTCAAATCAATCACTGTGCAGTCCTTACACAGTTCATGTTACATTTTACAGATGCTGGTCAAATCTAGTAACATAACTCTTTCACTTGATCAACATTCAACATCTACATGACTTTAATTAATTGTATTGTCCTTAGTACAATGTGAATTAGCATCACACATGCCTGAGATATTCATCACTGTTTAAATAGGTTCTAAGACTTCTCACAAGACAGTTTTACATTTAGAATTTTGCCATGATAAAGCTAATTAGCTTTCTAAATGTTTCTCCACTCTTTATTTAGAAGTGTTACGTGTGCAATGTCTAATTATGTGTTCTTTGCCCTGCATAATGTGTTGCGTTAGTTGCCTTTCACTGGCATGGTTGATTGTGAAATCTGATTTGACTTGGTGCATTAACCTAAGGATTCTATAAAATTTTAATGCTATCTGGAATTTCTTTCTACCTTGTAGCCATTGGGTCTTGGGTTTGGCTTCTCCTAAGGAGATCATCTACATGTAGCAAGTTTGTATTCCCATGCCAAACTACCCCTTCTAAGGAAGACCCATATATTACTGATAAATAACAAAGAAAATTTGAATATGTATGTATATTGACTGTGACAATCTATTTATATACATACATAATCAAAATTGTCTGGAAATGCATTAAAAGCATGATAAACTGAAATATGATATATGTTACATAAATATGATTTATCATCAAATTAAAAATCCATACCAAACATTTTTTTTTTAGTTTTTTTTAGTTTTTGGATCAAGTAGAGCCTCTTCTAGGTCTGTTTGTGTCCCAGTTGGAGAGATATTCCTTTCTTCTTGTCGAAGGTGGCACTAGTTCCTAGAATGGGAAATAAAAGGAAAACCTCTCAACATTCTCAGACAGCAAAAAATCTGACAAAGCTTTTGGTTATTAAATATAAATGTTTTATTGTTGTCTGCTAAATAGAGAGCTGTCCCTGCTAAGTATCTTCCTGGTACATGTGGAGTTGGATAACAGAGCAGGAAGTGAGGGGGAATCTTCCATGTCAACTTAGAGAGCAGCAAACATATAACAGTGCTTCTAATGCTTCCCTCCTTTAGCATATGTAAAAAACGGTTGTACTTCTGCTATAATGTAGCATTGTTTTCAGGTAACACTATGGAATCAATAACCCGAAACAAAACACAATAAAAATGATTGATTCAAATACAGGCAGTCGCTGAGTTACAAACATCTGGCTTACATACTACTCGTACTTAAGATCTGAGGCAGCTTGACGTCACGCTGGTTCCGGAAAACCACCAGGCAGCCATCTTGCTGCTCACCCTATGCTGCCACCTACTGTCCGGTGGACCTGTCAGCAATTCCACAGCACTGCATGACCAGTTAACCTTTCCCTATGCTATCCAAAATGTAAAAATATTTTTTTGGTTGGATTTACACTTAAAAAATGTACCTGCTCCAACTTACATACAAATTCAACTTAAAAACAAATCTACAGATCTTATTCGTAACCCGAGGACTGCCTGTTCCACAACCAATTAGCCTAAATATACGAACAACTATCACATTTAATATATAGAAGTATGAAAGAAATGACAAGCTTGATATTCAGTGATAAAATCAGTATGTCTATTAACCATGTGCAATAAATATACTAGTGCTTAACATAAGTTATTTAATGCTGTAACCTATATTGGAAAAAACTGCTAAAAAAAACCAATAATTCAAATAATACAAGATCAACCCTAAATGACTGAAAGATTAAATTTGTACTAATCAATACAAATAGTATTTTTTTCTTTTGTCTTTTTTATCTTTTGTTGCATCTGTGTTGTAGCAATGGTTGCAAAGCATTGTGTTCTGATGGGGACATTTTTCTGAAGGGGTCAACAGTTGACCATGCTAGTGTAATGCACTTTAAATGGCCATTTGTAGTTTCTCTCAGAGGCATAGCGTGACAACACAGGAGCACAATTGGGAAACAGAGAGAGAGGGCTGTCACCCTACAACAGGAAGTTCAGGAACAAGGAGTTTCTCTATACATTCATTATGAATTATTATCAGCAGTAGACTTGAAATGTTGACAGTGACTTTAGAAACTAAATGAACATGTGAAAGATGATATAAAATTATAGTGCACGTATACTGTATTGTAAAAAGACTTCCAACCTCAACTGGTGGTTTGTAAGACTTTCAAGCTGATTTCAACTTAAGATTTTGTCAGTTGTATCTTGATGATATGTTTATGATTGATTTCTTTCCTACTAACATTAAAAAAAGAAATCAGTTCCTTTGACTATATCTTAAGATGTTTTCTGCCATAAGGTCACTGAAAGTCACTGTGACCCATGGTACCTGCACTAAGAACACAGTCTTCTAAAGCTGTAGAAGTTGTTCTTTGATGTTATAATGAATCAGCGTTGTAATTAAACAACTTGAAATGTACTTTCTATGCATCAGTTCATTCGGAATTCACAGCTATATTTTGCATTTTTTTGATGTGATGAAAACACCAGCTGCAAAAAATGAAGAAATCGATCAACAGATAAAGTAGGAAGTAAAGGTTTGCCTGTTTGTTTTCACTAAAGCCTGGCAGATTACCTAACAAATTCAGCAGAATCTTACCATTATCTGGCCATGTGCAATTCATAACTCCCACACCCATGTAATACATGCTTACATATCAAATGGACAGAATGCAAAATTTGATCATGTGATCATGTAATGGCAACAAATGCCCATACATATGCAGTCGTTGTGCAATTGTATTGTCATACGCTCAACACCCTTTGTCAGCATGTAAAAGATTAGGCAATGAGTGGTGAGGTCGAATCTGTTGAAGTCCTAATCTCCTGAGTTTACAGGCACTATGGTTTGAGTAGACTTCTCATTTCAGTCAAAGACAACTTTTTACCAGTTCAGATTTGATAGTGAAAGCAATGGTGGAGCTTCTGCTGATATCCTGAAGTTGAGTTTTAGAGGAGCATCAACTTAACACATACTTCCCAACTTTCTGAAATGATAAAGAGGGACTACTTTTAGCACACTAAAGGTATGCAAAGGACAAATCCTTGCCACAGCCCTAATTATATAGACTGCAAAAGTCTAATATGACTGACTAAACCATACAAGTGCTTTTTTGACCTTTATTTTCCTTTATATTGGCTTTTCAAAATAACAAATGAGGTTGAATAAGAGGCTTAGTATACCATACTTGGTAGTAAAATAGTACATTTTGAGATGTATACATCAGACCAAAAAGACAGACAACAGAGGCTGCACAATGGACAGAGGAATTTGGTTTCACAAAAGGAATAGTCCCTGCAAATTAAGGACAGTTAGGAGCTTTGTTAATATGCTTACATGACTTAATCTAGATAAGGCCCCTTTCACACTAGCAATCTGATCAGGCCCATCTGTCTTTTTTCTGGTAGACCCCGAACAGACCCTCCATTCTCCTCTATGGAGGGGCGGATGTAAATGGACTTGTGTCTGTTTACACCGACCTACATCCAAACCAATCTGGTCCACTAAAAACAACCTGAGGGGGATGCATTCCCCTTCCATATAGAGGATTGGAGGACAGTCCGGTATATACAGACAGCCGGTCCATTTGCATTTGAATGCCAACAGAGCACAGCAGGCTTTCTCTATGTCCAATCTGCATAAGCAGAGTGGACACAAACAGGTCATCCAGTCACTCTGCTCTGCTCAGCGGGGGGGGGGGGGGTGGGGGGGGGGGGGGGGGGGGACCAGCAGACAGATCCTCCACTGAGCAAATATATTCAAACTGATTCATCCCCACATGAAAGGGACCTAAAAAGTCAAACAATTAAGCCTGCATTCACACCTGAGCAGAGCATAAGCAGAGCATATTCCTGTTATTTTGAAGCATTTTACAGGCATTTTTCTGGCATATTACAAGCTCATTACAGGCATTTTCAATTCTCATAGAGTGACAGTCTGGTGGCAGCGGGTTGGATGGTGTGCCTATGCCCTTCAGCCACAGCTAAATGCAGGAGCCTCATGCACCGGCGCTAAACACCCAGTGTGCATGAGGCCTAACAGAAAACTGATATTGCCCTCTTGACAATGTTGTCTGGCAGAGGTGAATGAATCACACACAAATGACTGGACAGAATTTAAAATCTTTTGGTAGATAAGACATTTCACATCTGAGTTTTTCAAAGATCTACTTAGCTGTTTGCCTGGAGTGCAGTTTTGAACGCATTACAGATTCCCCTTTTAAGAATCCATCAACACTAATGCACCTCAGTTTTTGTATTTAATGTCATCCAATCCTCTTTGTGACCTCAACCCATCTCCATATAGGGTATCAATTTCTTATGTTCTGACAGATCAACCCTTTCCATTAATCTGTTTCGCCCAGACCAATCTTATTTTCTTAGCAACAAAGCATGCGTTAAAACCAGTTAATCTATGTTATGTGAGGAAAAGCCACTGCATAGGCTTTAATTGCAAGTCGAGCTAAATCTTTTTAATACAAGGCTGACTAATTACTCAGTAATTTTACAATGTAAGCCAAGTTTTACAAAACTAATAACGGATCAGATTATTACATGCTTTTAGGTCTGCTTGTTAGCCGATCTTGTATTTTAAACCAGCACACAGCAGGGAAGGTATGGTGG